TCATTTTGGAGCATTAATGGGTATGCACTACCATTAACCAGTAAAAAAAAGAGTCGCATTCACTTTCTCTTTATGAAACTTCCATGCAGCTCTCCAAAATACCATGCAAACTACAGGTTTGTTTTAAGAAAGGTAGGGGGGAAGGCAGAGATTTAATTTTCCCTTGACATAGCATGATGCCTGAATAGCCAGGCAGCTATTCCTAAATTTTGTGCATTTCATTCCTAGGAGCTGTGAGCATTCTGAATGGGTCGTTGTTAAATACACTACACAAGCCTAAATACCCAGGGGAACAGACAGCTGAAATTTTGGCCTGAACAGTAATCTGATATCTAGCACAGCAGTATCGGAGCACACAGGAAAAACACACACTGGTTTGTTGGGAGTGCTGAGCATGAGGTTATGGTATTTGGGGATGAGCTCTGGCAAACTTGGGAACATCTTGTATAATAAGCTGTGGTATTTGTCTGCTGTGGTTCTGACGGGGGTGAAAATGGTCACTTGTAACCTTTGGAGCTGTTAAACAGGCCTGGTTATCATTTTTGGAACTGAATCTAAAGGCTTGGCCGTATGATAAAGATATATTGGTATAAAGATATATAAATATATAGATATAGACAGATAAATGATAGATATAATGCATATAATCGAAGAATGGGGAATTTTTGTTTGAACACAGGAAATGAGGTACAAAAAAAGACATAAAATGTGGTTGGCAAGAGGGATGGGGACTTTTTATGGTCAGGAGCTTTACTACTGTTACTGCAGTGGGCTTGCACGTTACCTGCTGTATCAGACAACTACATGATTTGATGTGTCAAAAACAAAACAAAACAAAAGCAAAGAAAAACTAAATTAAACAAAACAAACACTCCTTTTACCAGATATCAGTCACAACTAGATGGTGTTAATAATATTTTGTCTATAGACCTGTTGCTAGCAAAGCAAATTCTTCATCTCCTCTAAGGAAATCTGTTCCTAAACATAATGTCACCTGACCCCTGACAGTTTCCCCCGGAAGAGCAATCAGTCCTGCCTTTGAACCTCTGCAAATACTGGATGAGGAGGGTGGACAATTCATGGATTTAGATTGATTCTTGCAAGGAGCACCAGAGACACATGCAGCAAGAGGTGTCATGGACATCACTCACCTCTTGTTGTCTTACCTCGTTATAGACAAGGGAAAAATGTAACTCTGCAGTGTACTTTACATTGGTATCATATGCTAACCTCATTACTGCCTGCAACAGTCTGGGCAATCCTCAGAGGAGAGGAATAATAACAAAGACAAAAATGATAATTACCAAGCACGCAGTTCTCATCTATAATATTCATTTCAGGATTCACTATTTCTGATGTCAATATTTTATAATGGAGGAATGAGATATGCTAAGTTTCTGTTTGATCGAAGTAAATTCAGATTTAATATTGCTGAGGAGCTGAATTTTTAATATAGTGGAGCCGCATACAGCTATGTCTGCTATTTGCTGCTCTTACAGCTCCATTGCACTAGTCCATCGACGTTCCCACGACCAAGCAGGAAAATGGGAAGAAGCTGCTCTGAATTCACTGTGGGGTGAAGGTGCTTTTTTATTTAGTCCTGTCATGATAATTGGGAGTGTCACGCGATGAGACAACACGACACACCCCTAGCAAATGAAGAGTTTTCAAAGTGATGTACAGCCCCTGTCAGCTGCCACAGCTTTTATTTGCTCACGGAGAGGAGCAGTGTTTCCAGCAGGAAAGCCCCAGCAAAGAGGCGTGCTTATAAAGTTTGTTGTGAATTGATTTCCTCTGTGTTTTTAAAAAATTGGATGTGTAATAGGAACACCAGGAAAATATCCTCTTTTATTGTACAGCCCCAGTTTCCAACCTGCTGAGTACTTTCCTCAAACTCTTTAGGAATTTACCTCTTTTCGTTAAATTGGGTTGGATCTCATTAATAAAAGAATGGTATAATAGAAAAGAGTTTCTAAAATTATACCATAACCTAGAATTGCAGGATTCAGCTTTCTCTGCCTGAAGAAAAAAATCTGAAGCATTAAACTTACTTTATCAAGCATTGCACCTGACATGTTCTCATAAATTTTACATACGTTTTAACTTATTTTAATATTATGCAGGCTTGGTTTAAAATATTCCCATGAAGTAACTAAAATGAAGCTGCTCAGCCATAAATTAGAGCTAAAAAAATACTTGTCCGCCTCCCCCCACCCTCTGCCCGCCTGGACAATATTTCTTTACCTAAAATCATGTGTTGTGGGTAAGTCAAACTTTCCTTTCCTGAGACACTTTGTATGTGTTAATAGGGCCGATGGCAGAAGGGGCGAGCGTTTTTTTCCGTAGGGTTCAATGCATTTGCTTGCATTTTGGCAGGCAGCGCCGCCGCGTGCAGTGTGTCCCAGACACGGGAGTGCTTATGTCTGAGGGGCCTTATCTGATGTGAAAGCCGTCAGCGCTGCCCATCTGCGCCGGCGAGGCTCCACCGCGATGCCCATGTTTATTTTGCTTCTGCAAGTTAAGTTTTCCTTGAGAAGAATCAGGGGCCTTCTTCGATGTACTGAGAAACGGGGATTGTGTGAAGGTCTTTGGAGGGTTTGTATCATTCTGCAATGGGCATATGTGAGCCCAGGGAGATGACATTTCATTTAAACATTTGGTTTACATCTTGGCATGCCAAAAATATTAATGTCCTGACTTTAGCCAACCGAATTCAGCACTTTTTTTTGCCCCTTAAATAAAATAATTATAGCCGAAACGTTCTGCGAATATTTATTCTTCCTTCTCAAAGGTGGAGTTTCACACATGAACCTTTGGTTTTGGGGCTGAATTGTCAGTATCTGCTCACTTGACACTTTCTTTTCAGTTTACATTGGAAACCACTTGGTAGTTTCTTTTCTTGTGTTTATTGTATTATTCTCAGACCTTTGATTAAGACACTTTGGATAGCGACTAAGTTCTAGCTTAGCACCTATTCATTATTTTGAAAAAAATGAAGAATATTGTTTCTATCAAAGGGTCTATGAAGTTATTTAATGCAGTTGAGAGGCAGAAGGGCATTTATGCAAGTGCATTTGAATGTCCTTTTTGCATATAATTGCATCAGGTATTCTGCATTAACATGCAAGTCCTGTCCGAAAGAAAGAAAGAAAAAAGCTTATTTTTAGGTAGAAGCCCTCAGTGGGCAGTAAATTACCCATAATATCCCCCAAACTAGCAATTAGCCCTGTTTGCTGACTACCTGAATTGTTTCACAGTAGTTCAGCACAGTCTTACCAGTTATCACCATACTTATTATCAGGGATTCAGGGTATGCTTCTTCCAGCTTCACATACCGTATGCTTAAGGTCAGTCATAATAACAAATATGCTTTATTTGCTTCTTTTGGCCCTTCAGAGCTGTTTTCTCAGGATTCAACACATGAACACGGCTAATGCTGCCATCAAAACCAGATGAATTGATCTGCTGAAATGGAAGAAATTTAAAGACAGAAAGCAATTAGCAAGAGTAGACATAAAATATTATATTAGCTAATATGAGAGCTCATATTTATTCCAATATTAGCAGATGCTCCTAAACAGCTGCTTGGAGAGAGTGAGCTCTCTCCCATTTTCTTGGTAGAAGTTCTGACCCTGGAGACATTATTCAGCCCAGGCTGTAACTGTGGTATGCAAAACTGGAAAATAAAAAACCAGAAATGAATGAGCAAATTTTCTGTATTTTTCTATATTTTTCCTTATACTTCTAAATACAAATGTTTTGCCAGAAGAGTAACTTAATTGTGAAAACAACATATATTGCCTAATTTAATGACAGAAAAAAATCAGAGGTATATATATATATGAATACACACTAATACATGCACACAGATATCTTAATGTCTTAATTTTCACTGAACAACCTTGGTTTTAAAGAAAGCATATTGGGTGAAAATTAGACAAATTAGTTTGGACTCTGAGCATTGAAGATTTAATTTTAAGCACTGTGCACTCCTCTCTCAGTAACGCTTTAGTTCACACGCTGTTTCTTCATCAGTATCCTACTGAATTTACATACATTTTATTACCACAGCTTAAATCCCCTTTTCAGTACTGGTTCTACATCATGTTATACTAGCTTGGAGTATATTCCTGCCTCAGATCTCCTGGACTGCGTATGAGTCCATAAGGTAACAGTGAAAAAGAAGGAAGCAGGAGTTCATGCTACCATCTGAAGACTGTGTTTCTATACACCAAGAAGCAGGAAATGAATTGGGAGTGTTGCCTGAGCATGACTATAGTTGAAATGCTTTGGCTTCTTGCCTTGTGATGGGGAACATCAGCTCTGTGAGCTGGCAACCTGCCCCTTCCCTATCTCCCAGGGAGACCCTCAAAAGAGCAAACCATCCCAAAAGAGGGTAGCCATAGCCATGGCTGTGAGTTTTGATCTTGCAGGGCTGATTAATTCAGGACACCAGTGTTAAAGGCTGCTCTCTGGAAGAAGCCAACAGCCCTTCTGAGATGCCCTGCAGAGTGGAGAAGGCAAGTGAAGCTGAAGATGGAAGAGTATTAGGGATAGCTAGGCCTGGAGCCAGGATGCAGAGGCAGAAAGAGTCCAACCGTATACTTCATTACCCTGCAGATCACTCAAAATGGTGAAAGTGGCCCCTAGTCCTTGCCCTTTCCAAGGGAGCTCTCAAATGGGGAACCTGTAGGAAGTGGTCTCCCAGGATGGGGGTCTACCATGCAACAACTGCTGCTGGGTTGGGAGCTGGTCTGAAGCCTCTCCAAGGAGGCAATGAAAAGGGGAGAACCAGGGGCAACTCAGGAGAAAAAAGGAAAAACCAGAGAGGACCATGCCAACAGGCCATTTCTTGGAAAGAACAGAGTCCATCTTCTTGGAATAAAACAAGAACACTTTCTGGGTTGAGCATTGTTTCCAGTCTTATTAAAATAGGCCCTGATTAAGAAAAATAGAAGTAGGCTATCATAACTTAGCAGTCTTCTTCGTTGTGAGTATATGCATGCACATACCTGGCCAAAGCAGGCAAAAGCAGATTGATTAAACAACAAAGTTTATCCTGTTTTCTGAGTTGAAAGCTCATGTTGTTCCTTGGCAGAACAGGCATGGCAGGTCTGCAATAACCACTTGCTACCTTGCTTCTGTCAGCGTTAAAACCAGGACATTAACATCTTGGGATAAATCCATCTGGAAAATGCTTACTGTGAAGGCAGGGGTGGGGAGGTGACAACTGAATGCCACATTCTTTTTTTTAATTATTCTTTCATAGTAATTCTGTGGAGAATTATCTGGTCTGGCATGGGCTGAGAATATCTTTGCTATTTGGTTTTATTTTGGAGGAGGTTTTTGTGTGCATATCTCTTTACCATGAACCCATATGCACAGTACAGGATGGAGTCATTATTTAGGAAAAAGTCCATATGGCCAGATCCACAGAGACACCACTCCTGTAACAGCAGAAGGGCTAGTGCATCCCCAAAATGGGATATGGAAGAATTACATACTTTTAGATATGATAAAGCTGTTGGGTTTACAGTTTTATGACATAGGAACTTGAGAACTAAAATTTAAAAAGCCTGTGTGAAAAATGATTGTTTTTTGCTTACATAATAATACTATTTTTTTTCTTTTTGACATTATTTTGTGGCATCTCTTCTTTCTGCTGAATCAAGGAACATGATACTTCCAGGATTCAGAAGACATTTGCATTTGATATGAAAAATTTTACATAAATTTTCTTGTGTGAAAGTATAATGAAAAGCTAACTGCTTAAAAGAGTCTAAGCAAGACTTTTGTCTATGATTTGCTCTGATTATTTTTCCTGTCTTTCTTTCTTGACAGAAGCTCTATACTTTAGCACAGATAAAATTCGAGGCCTATTCTAAAATGATGTGCGGGGTACATGCTCAAAAAGTCCTCTGCTCCATAGGAATGCTACTCTGTACTGCTGGTTCAGCTTGAAAACTCAGTGTGAATGTTTTGGAGGCTTTCAGCATCTCCAAAGTATTTTTGCAAGGCAAGCAAATGATTCAGGGACTGGACACTGGATTTTTAAATTAGCAAAATATTTATAATTTACTCTAAAAACCACTGTGCCACAAAGACCTGGGTACAAAGACAGCATTTGACTCTGGATTAGGTTTAGATGAAGTCTGAGAACTACACTGGTTGGTAGGTCCATGTTCAATGATGCTTAAATTTAAGGCCCTGGCCTTCCTACATCCTGCCCTGTAATATGGGATCACACCTTGCCAAACTTCTGTCACCTTGAGCTTCATTAGCATGAGAAAATTACCCCTTTTGGCTTTGGTTTCTCACTGAAAAACAAACCGTTAGGGTTGGTTTGCCAGTTGTCTACTTTGGCTAGTTGTCTATAGTTCCCTCACGTGCTTGGCTTTGAAGGAATTTGGACAGGATTTATTTAGGTTCAGTTTTTTAATACAGCTCGTAAGTAGGTACCAGACTAAAGGCTCCTATTTACAATGGTGAGCATTTATTCAGGGAACTACTCTGAAAGGACCCAAGAGTGTTGCTTGACTAAATATTCAGCAGAATGGGTAAATATTCTATAATTAAGCCCTTAATTGAGAAATCCATATTAAAACAAACAAACAAACAAACATCTGCAGCTGCTATATGAAATATTACCTGTGCTGCATTTAAGGGAATTAGGGGCTGCATTCACTTTCTTCAGGTACTTTAATAGCTATTCTAATACCTGGAGATCACAGAATCACAGAATGGTTGAGGTTAGAAGGGACCCCTAGAGATCATCTAGTCCAATCCCCCACTCAGGCAGGGACACCCAGAGCATGTGGCACAGGGTCGCATCCAGGCAGGTTTTGAAGATCTCCAAATCACTCTTTGCCCTCACCCTACTCTCGCTCAGTAGACACTCAGAAGAATACATGGCAAGGTCACTTACAGTTTGACTTTGTGTGCCTTCTACATATCAAAATACTTCTTAAGACAAATGTTACAAATATCTAAAACAATTCAAACATAATTAAAAGAAGAAAAATCAAAACAGACGCACTTTGGATTGGGCCTACATGCTTTGTTTCCCGAGATAAACTGACAGAATTCTATAAACTGATGGAATAAGAGAGCTGAATTGAAAAAAATACACTGAGAAGCAGCGGAAGGAGAACAAGAGGGAACAGAGGGAGATGAAGGAACCAGCATGAGGCACTACTCACTGGATGGTAGTGACAGAAATGACCTTGCTACGAAGTAGGGACAGCAACAGCTCTCAAATATTGCAGGAGATGTCCTAAACAAGGACCATGTTTTCCTTCCGATTGCGTAACTCACAATAATTCTACCTCCTTTCAATAATATTTCACAAAAATATTGAAAAAGTGTGGGAAAAGATAAAGCAAATTAAGGGCATTTCTCTGTAAACTCTCAGACTTTCAATAATCTGATCATTTTATCACTTCTAACCTGCCTTTTTAACCTCCATTACTCCTCAGGCCTACTGCCCATTTACCCTCAGGCCTACTGCTCCTGTTTACCCTCAGTCGTACTCCCCATTTACCCTCAGGCCTACTGCCTCAGTTTATGCTCAGGCCTACTGCCCCTGTTTACCCTCAGGCCTACTCCCCTTGTTTACCTTCAGGCCCACTCCCCTTGTTTACCCTCAGGCCTTGACATGGTGAATGAACCAGGAGACCTAAAAATCTTTGCAGGAAAACATTTCTGAATAAATAACAAGATTACTAGAAAGTAACTTTTCCTCAGTGAAGAAACTTTTATCAGTCATATTCATCCAATCAGGGTATGGAGCAGTGCCGTGTAATCAAAGTATGCAGTCAGCACACTTCGTATTTATTGCACAAAAACCGTGTTCTGCCTTAGAGGTAGCTACATGGGAGGAAAAAAATCATCCCGGCTCTATGAATGGTTTTGTGAATAGTTACAAATAATGGAAATGCTCATGCTCAATGGGAGTGGAAAGAGATATAAAATTTGTAAAGGTACTAATTCATTATAATTTATTTCCATTTGTAGTTGGCAACAATCCTTCAGTACAATCACAATTAGATTAAGGGCAGTAAGAGTCCCGATCAGCTAGCACAGAGTAAGGCAGGTGAACTTTTGGAAAGACAACTGGGGCTGGGGTGCTACAGCTCTCACTGTGATCTATTCAGTGTTGTTGAAAAGAGCACTGTCAATGTTTATTTATTTTTTTTGTACCCACAGGCTTCTTAAATAAAAGAGCTGATACTATTTAAAAGCTCTGGCTGTGACATGCTGTTTCTGCTTCTCCTCCAACTGCTGAAGCTGGAAGCCTAGCCCTAGTTTCCTGTGTTATTGTCAAAGGCGGGTCAGCTCTGCAACTGGCAAGAGAGGAGGACAGAAAAAATAAGCATCACAAAATGGGATGGAAATGGAAACCCCTGTGTTAGCCAGGGACCTCGTGCTAAGCCCACTGAAATCAGTAAAAGCCCCCTCATTGAATCCCGAGGTTATGGGCAGGGTTTAGAGGAGCATCACTAGATAAGGCTGAAAGCACCTTTAATTTTTTTCAAGGTACATGACAATTAATACATGCATTTTTTTTTTTAAGTTCCTGAATCCCAGTGTTCCTCCAGTGAAAATCCATGTTAGCATGATTGAGTTCAGTGGAATAAAACTAGGAGAAAAACTAGTTCAGCAGAGATTAGAGTCTGAGTGCATTTAAAACTGAGGCTCCATGGAGGATTTTCAGAATTAAACCAATTTTATATTACTAAATAAGCTTACCTCTTTTGATAGAGTGAGGAGGTTTTCATTTCCTTTGAAATTCTGGGGTAAACTGTCCTTGTACAAAATTTGTTCAGGGTCAAGCTTTAGGTAAAATTTTGTGCTGCAGTAGCTGCACTATGATAGACAACCTTTTCAGGAGATAAGAAAAAAAAATCCCCTTCTTCAGGTCAGTACAAGAAAGTAACATGACAGAGCTATAAATATAGAGCCCAGAGGTGTGAAATCTTGTCTGGCATTAAATGCAGTCATTGAGCACGTTTAATTTTTTTTCCAAACATCTCAGATGTATACACTTAGAAGCAAACATATATATATATATGGTAGTCTCAGCAAATAAAGTTTTTTTGTTGATGTTGTTAAATTATTTACTCTGGTAATTGCTTTGAAACTTTCTCAGACAATACAAAAAATATTACTGATCAGATGAAATTAAGTTGGGTAAACCAGTAACATGTGGAACTTCAGGTTTAGAAGCAGAAGAAACTGAAAAGTGATGGAAAAGACAGTCTAATAGCATTTCCACTTGCCTGTTACTTGCCTCCTTACAAGGAGGCCCAGCAGCACTAAATAAAGCTTTTCAGATAACAATTTGAACAGTGTAATGCTAAAAGTAAAACTGAGGTCACCAAGCAACTGAAGTCAGCCATTTAAATTAGGTGACTGATTTCTAGAGCTGTGCAAATGCACTACAGTGTCCCATAAAGTCAGAGAGAGCTGATGAGTGCTCAGAGCATGGGGCGAAAAAAAGAAAAAATAAACAAAAAAGCCCACAGCATGGTCTCAGGTGTCCAAGGCTAGATTTAACCACTTAATTTTAAGTAGTGGTATTGAAAATCCAGTCTCCAAATGTGGCTTGGACAAACTTTACTATAAGCATGGTGTTGTTGATATCTATACACATATAAGGGTTGGGTGGAAATTTTTTAAACGGCCATCAAAACTCACAGTCTGAATTTATTTATTTATTTATTTAAATTTAATTGGTATTTTAAAATTACAAGGATTTCCTGTTTCCAAAGGTTACCAAGGACTGGCAATAGTTTTTGCGACTCTATCTAAAATGCAGCATTTTAAAACAGGGAGCCTTTACAGGGCAAGGCTGGCAGTTCACATGAGTGTAACTAGCACGTCTCCTGAGGTTTGTCCAGCCCTGGATTAGATGAAGTCATGCCCAGGTCAGCCCAACCAGAAGGATGGCCCTGATGAGGCAAGAAAGGAATGAATGGGAAAGTCGGGGCGCAGATACCCATGATCCATCGGTAATCCTAGCAAATTTCTTGCTCATGTTGCCAGAAAATAAAATGTGTGGAGATGATCAAACAGTATTAAAAAAAACTTATCAAACAGTATTAAAAAAAATCTCTACTAAATAAAATTGATTAATTAAAATTATTGTGGTGGCTTTTTTGTCAATCCAGGCAATACAGTGACTTACAGATTTTTTTTTTTTCTGAGCGTCACTTTGGAGGACGTTTTTCCAGTTTAGGGGCATGAAGGTACCTCCATTCCATGGGTCTCCATGGCATCTGCTCAGGTGTCACTGGCGTGGGTACCTCTGCGTGGTCAGCATCTAGAGGTACAGATGATCCTCACTTCACTCTAAATTAGCACTGCAAGCAGCCACACCACTGTGTTTCTCACTAAAAGTAGTGTGCTAAATGGGCTTCCAGGTTGGCCAGTTACAATAAAGGAATGGCACCACCACAATTTTAAGATGACAGTGCTATGGCAAAGCAGTCATAATATGCTTGAGTTACTAGCATAAGCAGTGGATTTAGAGTATTATGAAAATGTATGCATTCTCAAGTGCTGTGAATTATACCAAATAATTTTGAATATCTCTCTGCTACACTAATGAATCAAAGCAGAGCTTACCATATTATCTGCAATCATCATGGAGAAAATGGATTTCAGTGTATGTAGTTTCTGTATAAATAGTGCATCCCCAGCACATTCTTTAATTAAGTAGTGTCTGATTGCATAATAATACCAATAGTAAAGAGAGAGATGTCCAGCTTCCATGCCGGCCAATTAAAAGTGTCAAGTGCACGACACTGGAGAACTTTTGTCTGGGGAAAAGCCAGCATGGAGGCATTTTCCTTGCAGTACTATCTCTTCTGGTGGTAAATCTGGAGCCTGGGGACCCTCTCCCTGAATCCTTGAACAAGAGCAGGTCTGGGGGACAGCAGAGTTTCCACCTTTCTGCAACCTCCTGGCAGAAACCAAGGAAGTTGTGACTGCAGCAGACAGGCATGGCTTACTAGTTTGGGTGAATTTTGGGTGAATTTGTGTGGTACTTTATGGCTTTGCTGTGTAGGGTCTTCCCTAGGGACATTGAATCAACCTGCATTGCAAGCCACAGATATATGTGAGCACTCACGGAAAGCAGTAAGATGGCAGAAGGTCCTTTATGGGGTGGCTGGATCTTGTGTTTATGGCCTGAAGCAAGATACCAACCCAAATCATGTTGCTAGTTTCTAATCATCTAAAGATGAAGACCACATAATTCAAGGCAGGGGAGTAGATATGAAAAGCTAGTGTGAGGAGAACCGGGGATAACCCAGATCACAATGAGACTAAATACCTTTCTTGCCATTAATTATGGCTAATAGTCTAACACTTCTAATAAATACCTTGGAATTTAATATGCACCCAATTCACCCTGTAGAAACTCCTTTTACAGAGAATATCCAGATTAACTAAATGATTTATAAACCAGGATGCTGGAATTATGCATTGAGAACAACACCGCCAAGAAAGCAGCACAGGAGAGACTGGGACTTTAAAAAATAAGTCATTTATAGGGATGGAAGAAAAAAAGATCAACAAGTTCAAAAGATCTACATTGCCTTCCTTAAAGTATTGACCACACTGAGAGATGAGTTATTGCAGGCATCTGTAGTGTTACAGGTGGAGCGTGGGGCTTAGAGGCCCCAGCTGATTGGGCTGAACTGGTCCCTGCCCTCTCCTAGCCCCAGGACGTGCCTATGGGACATGTCTCCAAGAAAAAAACAGTCTTCAGGGTGCAGGATGGGCTTCAAAAAAAGCATGCAAGAAAATAAAAAAGAAGGAAAGGAGCTGCTGTTTTCTCACTTCCATTAGACTGTGGGGAACCCTTGGAGAAAGCAGGATTGCAGTGAACGCCCAAAGTGCCTCCGTTCACACTGAATGGGAGGCTCGAACAAGGCAATTTTGAACACTCACCTTAGCTAGAATATCCTCGTTGGTCCAGTTCACTTACTTCTCCCAAGAAAAACAGGGGGGTGGTTGTGACGGTTACCCCCACGTGAAAGGGAAAGGTGCAGACTTGGGGTGAGTGCCGGCTCTCTTGTAATAAAACCTGATCTGTTCTCAGCTGCAGGGAGGTCCCCCACGGCACACATTGGCGTGGGGCACCAAGACTCGTCTTGCTTCGGCCACACACTGCAGAGATGGCCAAGCTCAGAGCGCTTTTCTCTCCTTCCCGCTTACTGTTTCTCTCCAAATATTTTCTAGACTTGGCTGCTTAAAATGAGGGGATTTATGTATATTTAAGCATCTAACAAAACAGCCAATTCAAAACCTCCTGATCCATCAATGGCCTTATTCATGGGATTGAAATAAAAGCACGTGCTTAAGTACCCTGCTGCATCAAGGCCCACATTACCTGGTTTCCAGAAATGCTGCATTCCCAAAGTCCTCCTAGATTAACAGAAGGCTCTTTATTTTGGAAGCCTAAAAATAGAACCAGTGCTGAGTTTTAGATAATCAAAATTTTGTCCTCTGCTACAAAGGGCCTGCAAAGCACAAGTCATTGCTGTGAATAGAAAAAAGTACTCATCTTTTATATTTTACACTAACTTACTGACTATAATTTTTTTTTCACAGTACCTTTGCCACTAAATCCCATGACCATTTCATGATGAAAAATACAGGGAATGTAGTGCCCATGCCCTGGATAGACTTAGTTTTCACTTGGTTAATTTCCAAAGACCTTGATCCAACAACATATTCAAACACCTGTATAACCTAAACATGCTTTAAAGTACTGCACTGAACTCTGGCCAAAGTAAGGAAAAATAAATTCTGTTAAAATATCACTTTATTTCTTTCCAATCTGATTTTTGAGAGGCTAGAATGCAATGTACGATATTTATTTCTTTATGTAGAATATTTTAATAATAAGCCAGATATTTTAATATTTCCACAATTTAAATGCACCATGGCTGAAGGTTTGACAGAAGCTTTAATTTGCACATAAAAAGGTGGAACAATTTCAGTTTTGACAGAGCAAGCTTTTGATTTGTTAATAAAGGCAATTCATTCTCAACTGTGAACGTATTTGCTAAATAAGACAATATAGTTTGCAACAGAAAAAATATCTTACTGGCCTGGAAAATAAACTTTTGATCCAAAATTATTAAAGGAATTTGAATTTTATAAAAATAAAAGAATTTAACTTTCATATTAGAGCTATAATAGCAACAAAACAAAAAATAACTGCTACATTTTGGATACCTACTGTTATTAACGTAACCTACCTTCAGTATGTTTGGATAAGGTTCACTGCTAGGAAATATCAGGAAAATGTTGAAATCGATGTGTGCTTTTGGTGGGAGGAAGCTGTGTGTTTGGAAACAGCTTTTGGTGCAAATCAGCAGAGATTTTCCTTTTCTTATCAAATCGCAATACATGAAGTCTGAGATTTCAGCCTCTCCTAATGAGACCTAAGAACCACAAAGCTTGTAAAGCAAAATGCAACCAACAGTGTCAGAGGAAAGCTTTCACACTGAAGGAGGAAAGCACGTGGATCTGTGAAGTAGTTTGAGCAGAGCTACCTTAAGTATGAAAGAAAAAAAGGATTTCTGATCTCAGATCAAACAAATTACCCAAAACTTTTCCCCATATGTCTGCCAAAAGCTTTAGCGTGGAAGCAAGGCTGAAAGTATCCAGCATCCATTTCAATATATAAAAGGGTAAAGAAGCACCCGTCAGAGGGTCTGCCAAGTCCTCAACTTTTACAGGCTCAGCAAGTACTTTACTCTGGCATCCGAAGCTGTCTAAAGCTTCTCAATGAGATGAGCAATGTATCCAAGTAGTTCCAGGTGCAAAATAACCACTGTTGTTATTGCAAGCCCACCACTCTCACCTCTGAGCTAATCCAGACAGCATCTCATGGGCTCTGGGACATCTTTTGTGGAGAAATGGGCAAAGAAGTGAACAAACTACATGAATATGATTGAGGCAAGATACAACACATCTCCTGCATGTCACTGGAAGACTATTCCTGGACATCTGCAGGCACAAAGCTGCTAGCTGCCTGTGTCATGGGAGAGAGTAGTTACTTAGATATGACTGGCAGCAACAATTCCCACCGTAATGCTAAGTAAGCCAGTGACACAGCCTGCCATCAGTATCTCACTCTGCTGCATGTGGCATTTTGCAATTGCACTAGATACAGTGCTCTGAGGCTTACCGGTTCACAGTCCTTCCATTTAATAACACACTCCCCTCATTTCTGCAGACTTCTAAGCTTTCGCTGAAAGAAGTCAAGCAGTTTGTTATTGAAAGGCATTTTTGTTTTCCAAACAACATCCTCTCACGTTGTTCTTTCCTCCTCTCACCATAGTTTCCTTCTAGTCTAGTGTTGGCAAAGGAAGGCTTGGGATACTTTGATCATGTTTTCACACTTCCAACGTACAGTTGTCTCATCACCCTCCACTTTAGCCCTAACTATGCTCTGCTGCACAAATGCAAGTCTTTTTTTTTTTTCTGTGTTTTTTTTTTTATTGACACCTGAATAATCAGAGGCCTTTTTTAAACATTAAAATAAAGAAACTCCTTACAGCTCCAATGCCTAACATTAAAAAAGGCAAGTCGCGCCCCATTCAGAAGCAGCAGCAGAAATGAGATCACTGACATTAATGTTAGAAGTGGTATTAATGTTAGATAACACGTAAGGTGAAATGAGAGAAAGTGAAAAGCACCCAGTATTTTCAAGCCATCCCCAGCACTTCTCCTTCACATCTGTTTCCTTACAACCTCAGGAAGGGTTACATGAAAACCTCGCCTTCTTTGCTTTAGTGCCGTAAGGACTCTAGTGTTTATCACCCTGATAGAAAGACCCAAGGGACACATGGCACATGAGACGTAGCAAAATTACAGGCTTCAAAGTGGTGCAGGTGCAAACCCAGCATGGTCTAGTGGGCAGTGGCATCTAAAGAGATGCCACTCATTTACTCTTTGGATCCTACTGCTGACAGTGAAAATATGGATTTGCATTATGAAGAGTTTAGTGGTGTAGAGGGAATAAACCCAGTAGTTTAATTCTCTGTCTTTAAAACAATTTGCTCTAATTCCTCAGACTCTAATGGTTTCACACCAGGAAGGGATTTCTGTTTCATAGGGTTCAATGCATTGGTCACTTCTGAATAAGGTTCTTTAACTAACTCCCCATCCTATTAAATCAAGCATCAGTCAAAAGACCTTCCCCTGCATTTTCTTTTTTTTTTGTTTTGAAAATGAAGTATTTCCATATATTGCGTGTATGAAATATACTTGCAAAAATATTAATGGCAAAGTTGTAGCCCCAGGAGTTCAGAAGAACCTCACCACGGACTGCTGCTGGGCCAAAGTTGCATCTCCAGCTTTCTAGTCTTGTCTCAGAGGACATCTTTCAGACTGAGTCTCCTTCTCTAATACTCACCTTTCCCCTGTTGGAAATAAATTTGACAGCGCTAACTTGATCTCCACCTGGCTGCCATCTCCTCCGCACATCTGATCCTACCCCTGAACTCTATCCCTCTCCAAATAAAAGACGGCTACCACCCTGTGGACCAGATGACCTGGAAACGCTGTTAAGAGATATATGAGCAACGGAGCAACTGTGCCAAAGGAAACTCACAAATCACATGCTCTGGGCAATAGGACAACTGGCAGAAAGACAAAATTAAATGACTGCCTCTCTACCTTCCACAAACTCCCAGAGCCTGCATGGCTACAGTCTGCTGCTGAAACATAGCTGCGTCGGCTCAAACTGCTGTTTCTCTAACAAACATCTTGCTGTAATCCCTCAAAGCAGCAGGAACTGGAGCAGTTGTATTTGGGATGCTGCTGTGAGCCAGGAAAAGCATTTCCAGTGCGCTTAACAAATACCTAAGGACAGAAGGAGAGAAACAGGCATGGGCGACCTGGGGCATATTTTAAGTAGCTGCTCTGTACGTATTCTACCTGGATAGGTCTACCTGGTCCTTTTAAGCAGCTCAGCATACAGCAAGCAAGCACCGCAGAACCTCCAGCAGACACACATTCCCAGATACAATGTCTGATGTCCTGTCACAAACCACATATGTCAACAACGCGATTTTTGCTGTCAATATCAATTTGGAAGGTGCCATTGAGAATATGCCAGTACAGTTCAATAGTGTTTGGCTCTACAGACTGAACCTGCACTGACATCTTTACCTTTTTTTTTTTCAATTATTTGTTTTAAATCAGACTTTTCCAATAGGATCTATTTCTAGGTGTGGGCTAGGGAAGCACACTGGGCATCCGTGTCAGAGCCTTTCAGTTTGTCTTCGCTTCAGTGGGTTAGAAAAGACGAGTTTGTGATGATACAAGCAACTTTCCCTCTGCATGAGTGGTCAACAGGGACCACAACACACTTTCTGGATAGATTTAGATCTCACAGAAAAGTCAAAGGAGAGGGAAGAAATTTGACATAAGTCAAATCTAGATTCCCCCTTCAGGACAGGCTCAGGAAATGAATGGAGACACAGAACCAAGCTAGCACAGACTGGGCGTATTTCTGTGAGAAATATCTGTTTTTCAAGATTCAGCAAGCCGGAAGGTTCCCTCATTCACTTTCATTCTGAAAAGAGTGATGGAGCAGTTAATGGGTGAGAGAAAGGCCATGGAAATTACAAGCTGTGTAGAAGTTTCTTTGCAAATAGCAGTTTAACACCACTAAGAAGTTAGGTTAAAGTGGTTTCAAAGTCTAAAATTAGTTACATTTTAAACTAACAGCATATGCTTTTATTGTCTCTGATCTAAAATATAATCCCAGGAGGCTGTGAAAAGCATGCAAATTACAGAAAGCTAATTTGCTCCAACAGCGACACCTCCCATGTAGTTGGGAGGTCTATTAGACCTACTACACTCTCCATTATTTGCATATTAATAGCACCTGCTGAAATACTTTGGGATTTACTTTCCCTGCCAGCAGAGGGACAAAACAAAACAAATACATATTTATATAAAATTCCTTTCACATGGCTTTGATGATCAATAAACTATCTAGACAGTGCTAAGAATGCCAAATTAACATTGAAAGCCAATGGGGTAGTATTGCAGATGTCATCTGTGGTTTTCAGAGGAACTGGCCCGAAAGCTTGCTTTAAAAAAAAAAAAAAAAAAAAGAGCCCCAACAGCAAAAAAATGCCTTCTCTGGAAAGTGCTGGGTAATTTGAAAGCACTCACTTGGCTCAAATCTGAAGAATGGAAAAGTTTAACTAAAGAAATCCAGACACCGCAACAAGAAAAAAATAAAAGAAAGAAACAAAGAAAAAAAAAGAAAAATAACAAGAAATGCCCACACACTCAGAGCCACCAAAAGCAGAACCCCCCAAAGTGGACCTTGATTAAAAATCTACAAAACCTCAGGCTTTGATATTAGCCAGGCCTGCAAGACCTAGTCTCCTGCACATAAAACAAAAAATAAATTAAAAACAGCTACAGCCTGAGATTTACTTAACAAGCCTATTTCCAGTCTCTGCTTATGACCACTGCTGCCCCTTCTGGCCCCCTAACTATATGTATGTGTGTATATATATATATATGTATATGTATATATATATACCAACTGTAGATTGCTATAGCTCATCTTCTTCAGGATAAGGGTGAAAGCAGCTTCCTGTGCACAGTAGCAAATGGAAAAATCCCTGCTCACTTAGCAGATCGGATCAGAGCTGCAGCCTGGAAGGCCTGACCATAGGGAAGGGGCCATTCCCTCCTCTGGCTTTCCCCAAGCAGACAACTGGTATTCCTAAAAAAGCAGTGGTCATGGACCCATAGTCTCTTTAGAAGTTGCAAGGGGATGATATTTCTCCTCATGTTTTAAGCCCACAGCTTTAATTCTGATTATGCACCCATTTTTAAACAGGCACGGAAAGGCCCACTGGAGTTATTTACTGTAGCGCGCTGAATTTCTGTAGCATTTTAACTACCTCCATATTCCCAAATGAAGAAGGCAATTGACTTTAAGTTAAAATTACTAAATTGTTCTCTACATATTAAAGCATCTCCGAAGGAGCGTTTCACATAGGACAAACAAGCACAGAAAAGTGCCAAGCTGACACAGTAACTCCTAGCCTGGAGTGAGGGGCTGACGAAGGAAGGAAAGGGGACTGTTAATGGACAATATGTTACTACCAACCTCTTCTCTCTCCTCAACAGAGCTCAGTACGTCTTTCAGCTCTGCACAGCCAAATGGGACCTACAAAAAACTTGCCCAGGGTCAATTTTAATTACTGGAGGAGGGAATCAAACCTTACAGCAATGCAAAGCTCTGAAATGCTCTAGACGGGGAACTCCCACCATGGCTGTCAACAAATGCTAATTCTCATTACCATACATGTAGCTCTTACATCCTGCAATAGGAGCAGTGATTAGTATTACCCAGTGGCTAGTCAGTAGTAAAAGTGGTTGAAGCTGCAGAATGGAAAGAAGGTGCAGTTTGGAGGACACAGCTCAGCTCATGAGGTCTCTAAATAATGGACGAGGTCTCTAAATAATGGGCAGAATGATTCCTGGGAAGTTCGGATGGTTTAGGCCATAGATAAATAGAACTATCTTTAGGTAAGATATTAGATCAAAAGAAGGATGCAGTGGCCCAAGGTGTCTTGCTCAAAACAGCCTCTCTTCATGCCTGTGGTACCAGGGCCCTTTGTTGCAGGGTCCTCCTCCAGCCAGATGTGCATCCGAGATGTGCATCCATCCCTGTGTCATAGCATGTAGCAAGCACATCAGTATTGCTGCAACCTGTCACACAATGACAGGCAGCTCAAAACTTCCCATGCTGACAAGTAGCACCCCCTAAGCCTTCTTGTAAAGTAGATTTTCCAGAAACGAAGAGCCATGCATTTGTAACGACAGCAATAATAAAAATAATAACAAAGAAAAAGCACCCTGAAAAGCAAAACCCAGGACATTACCTATTATAACAAATTGAATGGGATATTCCTTACCTGAAATTTCATGAGCAATTAGCAAACCGAATTATCCACAAATGCATGTATGTCCTATTATGCTC